GTCTTCGATTGCATCACTTAGTCTCTGTCGAATAAGCCTTTCAAACATTTTGCCCGCATCGTCCAGCATACATAGTGGTCTAAACGAAGACGGTGTTATGGGTAGACCCTTTTCTTTGTCTAGTAGTACTAGCCTCTGACCTTCCATCTTGTTGGAAAGATACCTGCTTGGAGGCAAGTGTTGTACATATTCAGCAGAATAGTTGGGTGTTCGAGCGCTATAGCTTTAATAATCTCTATCGGGATACAGTCGGGACCCGGGGACTTCCTGACTTTCGCTACGCTAGCGACGGCTCTCAATTCCTCTTCAATGAAAAGATCAAAGTTTCCGTGGACTTGAAATTCCTTAATGGGTTTGTCCGGGTGTTCAGGGAACAAAGTGGTTACGATTTCCGTCATTCTTTCCAGCTCAAATGGGCCAACAGGTCTCTGCTGTCCAAGACGTCGCATCATTATCTTGTAGCCTAGTCCCCATACGTCCTGGTCTACGTCATTACAGAGACTTTTCCAGCATGCCTTCTTACTAGCACGAATCGCCATTCTCAGTTGCCTTTTGGCTTCCTTGAATAGTTGCTCCATGGCTACATCTCGTTGGTCCCTTCTCTTAGCCCTCTGTACAATGAGTCGTAGCTGCAGAGTTCTTTTACGAAGTTCTGCGATCTCGTTATTCCACCAATAAACTTGTCTCCTGAAACATTTGGCAGATCTTCTAGGCATGGCGGCGTCGCAGCAGTTAATAATCTGCTGCATTGTGTTCTCCACCAAGGCCTCTGCATTCTGCATAGATATTTCTGCATTTTGAGTACCAATAACTTCAAACGGGAAATATTCCATCCTCCAATAGTGGTTTGCGTAGGTTTATCTTTTCTTCCACCATCTAGCTGGATCCTAAACCTGACATATTGGTGGTCGCTTCCAGAGTAATCTTCCAGAACTGCCCATTCTGTCACCGCGCGCGCTACTGAAGAAGATGCCAGAGAGATATCAATAATTGACCCTCTTTGACTACTTCTCCTGAAAGTGGATGTATTGCCAGTGTTCAGGATAGTTAGGTCGAATCTAGCTGCTAGATCAATGATCGCTGTATCTCTCGAACAGGTCCAATCCATGCCCCATGGGGTCGATTTTGCGTTGAAATCGCCAGCTAAGACAACGTTGTTGCCCAAGTTTTGCAAAGTCTCTTCCAATTTACCTAACTTCGTCCGAAATATATCAACTTTGTCGTTCGGAGACAAATAGATGCTTACGTAGGTTCTCGTTCCAGTCTTTAACCATACGAAACCGTTTTCAGAGCCATAGTCGGATACTGGGAAGTTGGACTGGTTCCTAACCCAAATTGCAGCAGTTCCGGTTTGGTCTGTGTACCAGTTGGAATGTTTTTCATTTTTGTACTGCTCAGAAATTATGACCATGTCCACCGCGTATTCCTGCGTAGCTTGTTGAAGCACATTTTGAGCCAACTTGGACCTGTTCAAATTACATTGGAGGATACAGGCCATGGGTTTGGTGGCTGTTGTTTAATCCTTCTATCCTCTGGACGCCAGGCACTCTCCTGAGTATTAGTGTCTGGCCGTATGTAGTGGTTCAATAATCCCATATTACCGAATGGAAAATTCACAAACCTTCTTATAGACAGCCTGGCGGAGACCAGTGACATAAAGCGTAATGACGTAGATTCTCAAAACCTCCATAGACCTATCATATCACAACACACTCCTTTCTATGGTTTCAAAAGTAAAAGCGGAAAGATATCAAAAATAAGACTTTGTATTTTGAGGCGTTAAAATGTTGAGTTGACATTTAAGGACCCTCGTTAAACTTTATAACGCAGCAAAACGTAGATATTTTCCCGTCCAACGAACGTTAAGGCTCCGGTGCCAATTACGCAACTCCTCTTGAATCGATATAATAATTATGTAGCCGGTCGTCCCCTTTCCTTTTGTATAAAAACTCCTCTTCGTCTCGTTGGATTCCGCCAACAAAAGCTTTTCGTGTTTCTAAGCCGGCTTTCTCAGAGTTCCGCGGCGCACATTTTAAATGGATTTCAAAGAAGATGGATTGAAAGCAATTTGCTGCGAATTCCATTTTCCACTCATTAATTTATCTGATGCTTTTATTTCTCTAAATATAAACTTCACTCTGACAGCCATGTTTACGTAAGATCTTATTCTAAGGTTCCGGCTCTTCAGAAATCCAAAGAGCAAGGACAAAGTGCAGGGGAAATATCAGGACAGGGTAGCCCAGTCATAAATGACTGAATTGTTTTCTGTGGTGGACTTATCTACTTTCTTTAGTAAGAACTAAAGACTGATTACCAGAGAAAAATGTAGCTTCTCATCAAACTAATGAATTGAATCTGTTTGCGTTCCGTTCCTGTAACCACGGCCAATCGGATACAACGTTGCTTTATGCTTAATAGCAATCATCAGTAAGGTATAGTCATTGAAGGCAGACAAGGAAAAGCAAACATGCGTGAAACTATATAGTTTCATACTCGATGCTCATTAGTAGCGAAAGATGAAAAATTGTATCAACTGAATTGTGGTATTTTTTAATTTTTTGACTATTTTGTCCTTTTGATTGCCGTATTATTTACCATGGCGTTCCAGATGGGCTTCCTGCCCCCTGCCCGGTCATATGATATCCGTTGTAATTGATGAGACACTGTCAGTACGGGTGTTCCTCAGGGACTAGTTTTGGCTTCGGCATGATTACTGTTGCAAATTGAGGATCTCTTTTTCTGTACGATAAATCCACCCACAAATATGCGGATGACAACGTCTCGCATACAGGCATCAGGTTTGCCAAGTCGGTCGGATGATGAAAATTAAGATTTTTTCTATCTGACCTCCTCATTAAGCTGTATTGAACCAAAAATTGATTACTAAATTAGATGACAGTACAGTATGAGTATTTGTAATTTTTGCGCTTTTGGATTCGTGATTCCAAATATCTGGATTATTGGCCTTGCCAGGCCCTCGTGAAGATAAAGTTGAAGCTTTTTCTGTAGAAGTCAAATGAGAATAATTGATGTATCTATCTGGTACTAACAGGTACTGACTTGCTACTGTGTTTTCTTCCATGAGTAAAAGTGGCATTCATAAATTAGAGAGCTGTCTTAACACGTCAACTGTCCAAGCACATTATCGGGATTTTAGCGACACGTCGATTATGCCAGTCACATATTTTTTTAGTATGCCATTATAACATGTTCTCAAATATGTTTTATAGACAAAATCTCATCAGTCTCTCCCCTCCATCTTCCATTATCACATATGACTCATGAACGTATAATATACAGGGGGTTTCTGTTTTGTTGCATAACTTTAAGATTTGATAGAACTTTTAAAATTAATGCATACAGTTTATATAAACATGGGTCGAAAAATGCGTGGCTTCCGAAATACAGGGTGTTTAAATTTACTTTCTAAAATAGTTTTTTTTTTAAATATTTCGAACAATATTTGATGTATAACAGTGAAAATTGGTATACGAGGGTTTTTTGGTACGACAAAACGAACCATGGGCATAGTTTTACTGTAGCCGCTAGAGGGCGTTCTCTACGGTACCTGTAGTGTATTAAAATGACCGAAATTTTTTTCTTAGTGCAATTTTTTGATTTTTGATTGAAAAAACTGATTCTTCGCACTTTTCAACATAAAAAAACTCTCTTGTGAATTTTCGTTAGGGTAATTCTAGGACAGATGGCCCACCTTTTTACAAATCAACATAAAATCTTTATTATACCCCAGAAAAATCATTTAATAACTTAGGTTAAACCAGGCTTATATGAAGAATATTATTACAACAGAAAAAATAATCAAACTTAAATTTTATTCTCAAAGAAACGAAAAAAATAAAATATCAGACTGAGCCATCTCTCCTTTAATATATGGGTGAGTTGGCCCATAGTATTCGGTGAGATGGCTCGATTCAAAAACTAGTAAATATAGTAGTTCATTATTGCTGCGACTTTCCACATGCATCACAAAAATTGTCAAATCTGGTGCACCCTTCATGTACCCATCGGGAACACGTCACACACTGAATCCAGTCATCCATTTTTGTGGTGGTGGAATAAAAATCTCCGCATCCACGGCATTTACTTGTTTCATCTTCGTATTCCGAGGAATCATCATATATTATTTCTTCTTCAGAAGAAGAAGATGTAGATTGCTTCCGTTTTTTAGACTTACTTTGAACGCCTGGTTTAATGCATTTCTTGTTTTCTTTCTTTTTCCGTTTCTTCGCCTCAGCTTGTAATTTTTCTTCTAGTTTCTTTTTCTTATTTCTAATATTATCGCTGCTAGTCAAGACAGAAGCCAACTGTCCACCTCTCTTCCTCGCAGAAGAGACTGCTTCAGTGATAGGAATCGGGTTAATTTTGTCCAGTATTTTTCCAGGGGTATCTATTTCTTTCTCACGTGTCTTCATATCAGATGGTCCAGCTGAATCATTCACTACCGATTCCAATATTTCAATAATAGATGAATCCTGAGCAGATTCATTTCTATTGTCAACAGATATTTCACAATTCGGTAAAACTTGAGATTCAGGTTCATTAGGTGAAGCTCCCTGAGGTTTGTCAGTAAGATAAGCGTAATCTGGAATCGCAGACGGATTGAAAGGCACAATTCCTGTAGCTCTGAAAGATGAAACCGCATTTTTAACAGTTGCTGATTTCTCCCAAGCTGCAGCGAGTAATTGTCCAAAAATCAATCTGTTAATGCGTCGATTGGGATTTCTTCTAATAAAAGCATTACATTCTTCATAATAAAACGCCTTTAGTGACTTAAAAACTCCTCTGTCTAGAGGCTGAAGAAATTGAGTTGTGTGACTAGGTAGACACACAAAAATTATTTCATTTTCAGAAGCATATTCTAGTGTCTCTACGCTGCTGCAATGCGATGAGTGTCCATCGAGGACTAACATAACATATCCCGGAGGTTTCCTTGGGACAAACTGTTCTTTAAGCCACCTCAAAAATAAAACATTATTGACATAAGCTGATTTCTCAGACATGAATACTAAGGAGCCTGGTGGCATACCATCGGCAAACTCTGGTTTCTGATTCTTACCCTTAAAGATGCACGTTGGTGGTATAAATGACCCCTCCGCATTGCAAGATGTTATTACGGAGATTGTTTCGCCTTTTTCTGCTGATGTCACTGCCGATACGTTTTTTGAACCTCTCTGAGCAATAACAAAGCCTGGTTTGTTGTTAATTTGTAGACCTGTCTCATCTACATTGTAGATTCTTGCTGGTTTGTTAATTAAATTATATTCTATCAGAGTGTTTTCCAATAGGTTAAAATAAGATGCCACAACTTCTCTATTCATATTTAAACAACGAGCAGCTGACATACCTTCGGATTTTCTCACTGCTAGATCCTTATTGCGCCTTAAAAATGACTCGAGCCATGGATATCCTGCCATACGTCTTTCAATATTGAATTTATGTGGGAGATTTAATTTCTGGGCTAATTCAAATGCCATAGAGCGTACAGTTGTTCGTGATGGCGAAAATCCAAACTTTTGAAGTTTTTTAATATGATTGACCAATTTAACTTCGTTTTCTTGTCCTAAAGTAGATAATGGTCCCAACGGAAGCTTTCTATGATTGCCACTTCTCAAGCGTCGTCGAAGTGTTGTGTATGGCACACCAAAGGAACGAACGGCTTCTCGAACACCTACTCTACCTTCTTGTACAGACTCTATAGCTTGTTGTAAATCTTGTTCTGACCATTCCCCTCGACAAACACTACCTTTGCGTTTATATTCGGTAGGCATTTTAACTGCAAAAGAGTTCATAACTATTAAAATCATGTTAAGTAATTGAGCCATCTCTCCTCTCTTAGCAGTGAGCCAACTCACCTAATGTTACAAGGATAGGTGGCTCACTTCGGCGTTAAGTTATACATGCGAATAACAATTTAATTTTAGGTTAGGAATGCCGCCAGGCCTTATACTACCCGATGAATTTGTAATTGTTTGCAAAAAATAACAATACGTACCTCTCACGCAATTTTAATACTTTGTCAAAAAAAAATCGTACATATAACCACCACTTCTATTGTAATTCTACTGTAATAAAACGTTCAATTACTAACTGCGGCTGACACAGCATATGACGCAATACTAAATGGCTGCCGGTGTTGCCAAAGTATCGGTCTTTCATACATTTGTGGAGATATTGACGGTGGGCCAACTCACCTGATGGGCCATCTGTCCTAGAATTACCCTATAGTTAGCCGTTTTTGAGATATTTCGATTTTTAAGGTTCGATGCATTTTTCATTATTTATGATAAAATAACGCTAAAAAGTCAGTATCTCGATAACTTTTAGAAGTAGGCAGCGCCTGCAAATATTTTTGAAATTGAAACCAGAATAAGGTTAAATGTCAATTAGTTGACAGTTAGTTTTGTTGTCTGTTGAAACCTGAAACGTTTTTTTGCAATTGTGATTGCACGAAATTTAGTTTCCTTAACCTGTTTGTTTTTGTAAGTTTTATAAAAATGCCATTTTTATTCTCCAATCAAGAGTTAGCGGATATTCATTTTGTGTATGGCTTTGTTAATGGAAACGCAGAGAATACGCACGAAGATTTCCAAACAGACGACATCCAACTCGCAAAGTATTTGTAAGAGTGCATCGCCAAATAATTGAAAATGGTTTTGGAAATCTCCAAAGGGATCAAAACATAAATGTTCGTCAGCGCAGATTTACCCGTATGATTCTGCGTGAGTTTGATAGAGATCCGACCACAAGTGTTAGAAGAGTTTCTGGTGCCTTGGGAATTTCAGCAGGCCATGTTCACCGTGTTCTTAGAAATGACCATAGACGTCCCTACCATTTGCAACCTGTGCAAGAACTACAGCCAGGGGATGGAGAACGCAGAATCACATTTTGTCAGTGGATTCTTGATAGAACTGATAATAATAGGGAGTTTTTAAGTAACGTTTTATGGACCGATGAGTCATGCTTCACTAGACGTGGAGTGGTAAATTTTCATAATCAACATATTTGGTCGCATGAAAATCCGCATGCAGTTCGGGAAAGAAATTTTCAGCATGAATTTAGTGTGAACGTGTGGATTGGTATCTACCGTAATCGACTATTTGGACCCTACCTTTTGCCTGCAAGGTTAAATGCTGCGACCTTCTTGGAATTTTTAAAGGCTGAACATGCAAATATGTGGGATGATGTTATGTTAGATTTAAGAAGATTGGCCTGGTTCCAGCTTCATGGTTGTCCAGCTCATTATTCGAGAATAGTTAGAAACTGGCTCGACGAAAATTATCCAGAAAGATGGATCTGACCTAAATCCATTAGATTTCTTTGTGTGGGGATTTCTAAAAGAAACAGTGTACCAGACTCCCGTAACCACAAGAGATATGCTAATAGACAGAATCAGGAATGCATGTGATGAAATAAGGCCTTATTTGAATAGTGCTATACCACGTTCGATCATTCGTAGATGTGAATTGTGTATTGAACAATTGGGTTTACATTTCGAGCAACTACTTTAGATTTTGTGTGTTTGTCCTAACTATCCAATAGCATTTTAGTTGTAAATAATTAATTTAATTTATTAAGAATAATATTGGAAAATTAAACAAATTAGTATTCTGTTTTTTGTGTTTATTTGGAGTTAGGAATTATTGCTGTGTTTAAAAACACAATCTAAACGATCATCTTGATTACTTGTAATGCCCAAATCGAAAATGTAAAAAAAAATATTATTTTCCCATAAATAATTAAAAATGCATCGAACCTGAAAAATCGAAATATCTCAAAAACGGCTAACTATAACAAAAACTCACAGGAGAGCTTTTTTATGTTGAAAAGTGCGAAGAATCAGTTTTTTTATTCAAAAAAGAAAAAAAATTCGGTCATTTCAATACACTACAGGTACAGTAGAGAGCGCCCTCTAGCGGCTACAGTAAAACTATGCCCATGGTTCGTTTTGTCGTACCAAAAAACCCTTGTATACCAATATTTAAAAAAAACTATTTTAAAAAGTAAATTTAAACACCCTGTGTTTCGGAAGCCACGCATTTTTCGACCCATGTTTGTATAGACTTTATGCATCAATTTTAAAAGTTCTATCGAATCTTAAAGTTATGCAACAATAAACTGAAACACCCTGTATATCTCACGTCCGATGATACCCGAGCAAGTGATTTCTTTTAGAGGAAGGTTAAAATTTATACAATACAACCCCCCAAAATGTAGCAAATATGGTGTAAAGTTCTATAAATTATGTACCACAAAGAGATCTACGTATTCCTCTTCTATTTATTGTGGAGATGATCCCAAAATTACATTACATGAGCCTGGATCTGTGATAGTAAATTCAACTGAAGGCTTATTGAATGAAGGGCGGCTGATCATAACTGATAATTTTTACACCAGTATTCCTTTAGCTAAATATTTGCTAGATCGTTCCACAGATCTTTGCGGCAGTCTACGGAAAAATCGAAAGGGAGTTCTAAAAGAAGTTGACCAATTTAAAAAAGTGTACATAATCGTTTGACAACGAGACAACATCACAGTTTTGAAGTGGCACGATAAGCGTGATGTTTGCATGTTATCAACTTGCCATGGGAATGATATTTCAGATACAGGTAGAAAAAGTAAAGAAGGAGCTGCTGTAACCAAACCAAAAGCCATTTTCGAGGAGGAAATTGATGTATCGGATCAGCTAAGTAGCTACTATTCACCAGTTCGTAGTTTCGTGATTTGGTGCAAAAAGGTAGCAATTGAGTTAAAATTTGGCACCGTTGTAATTAATATTTAGTTATTATACAACGAAATATCTACGGAAAAAAGGCTCTATTGCTTTTTACAGAAGAAATAATTGAAGAACTTGAAGTAGCTAAAACAACAACCCACATTGAACCATCCACTTCTGTTGAAATGTCAAAAATATCAAGAAAGGACGACGGTAAAATTATTAGAAAAAGATGCCATGAATGCTACAGAAAAAAACAACGCGAAAATGGAACCCAGTAGATGCTCTTATCGTACCATATGTAGTAAACCATTTTACCTATCTTGTTTTTTTGCTGGAACGCAAAAAAATAAAAACCAGAGCACTAACCATTTTTGTGTTGTATTTTCAGAATCATGTTCCTTTGTTTTCTAAAACCTTTAATAAAGTCGTTTTTAATAAATAAAAGACTTTTTTGGAATGATTCTTACGAACATAAAAAATACGTCATATATGATGCATCCTGGAAAAAAATTAAAGTTCAATATCCTCTTAATACGTCCATGCTATAATCAGCTGCTTAAAGATCACGTCCAATTTTTAACATATCGTAAGGCAAAGCAAGCACATGCACCACATATGATTCAAGGGCGTGTCTAATGAATCACATATGATTCATGGACAGTTAACGTGTTAAGAAGATATATAGATGAACTGGGCAGTCTTACTACTGCATCCGGGAAGGTGCTACAGTGTGTCCACACGCTTGAGCATAGCGCGCAAGAAATTTCCCAGAAACAGCGAGAAAGGAAATCAGTGGAGCCAGAGCTAGAAAATGCAAGCGTTCACCCAACGTAAAGCGGTCCAGAGGTACAGAGAGTAGAACAGCAGTTGCCATGAAATACTATGCAGCTATTTGATATATTTCACACATCATAGATTTAAATTTGGAAAAACGTTTCTCCTTCTGTCATGGGTGAAGTTCTTCGTTCGTGCATCAAACTCTGAGTATCACGGCATGACTGGCGATCTCGATCTCGACTTATAGCAATATGCAATATGCACATACGAGGCGGGTGTGATATTATCTAAATATGTTGTATATGCTTTGAGTGTAATTTTACGAGGTTACTTGATTTCGTGAGGTAATATTATATAATATACTACACATAGTATGTCTATAAGTACGTATTAATAGCTATTATGGTAAGGTATTAAACATTGTTGACAGTTTTACACCAGAGGTCCAAAAAGATGAGGCTACCGTGTACGAACTTGCTCATTGCTGCAATCTGAGGATTTGTTTTTCATAAAAGCCCTGAAAGTGAGTGCTCTTATGGTACTCAGAAAACCTACGTCTTTTTGATGTCATTGCACTATATGGAAGAATGTAATAGAAGTTGTTTCGAATGCGTAATAAATATAGAGTTAATCTACTTGACCCAATTTTTTTTTTGTTATACATAAATCAAAGACACATGTAACATAAAACACAAAATTAAGGTTCCAAATTGAAGTGAAGTTTTTTCATCTCCTCCGTAAATACGGTACATGCCCTTCCTGTGTCGATCCGAGAAGGCATTCCTATTAAGTCTAAGCAAGCCCTCTCTAAATGTAGTCTTCCGTCCTTTCATGATTGGTTGCTTGTTGCTAAGCATCTCGTCTGTAGCATTTTTCATCAATTTTGTCGAAGTAATCTTTCCGTCTGGAAGGTTCCATTAATTCCAACCAATTTAATTAAAACAATTTGAAATACCTTCAAAGTATTTCCATCTGCACGGGGAATGAAAAGAGGGCTCCGATTCTTGAAATTATTCTAAACACTACGAAATTTTACCTCGCTTCAGTCACCATGGACCATGGGCGTACCTTAACGCTTTGGTCCAAGCAGTGAAGTTAAAAACAAGCTCTCCAGTTGGCCGCAGTGTAAAACTGGTATCCAATCTGTGATCCGATTTTTCTTTTCTTTTAAATTGCATATACATAGGAATTTTAGAAAATCACGTACTTGAGCATCTCAGAGTGAATCTATGCAAAATTTCCATTTTTCTCCCAGATGGTTGCAAGTTGACGTAAGTTGGTAGACCTAGATAATTTTAGGCGAATTTTGACGGTCAAAAACATCCAGATTGTTGCAAAGCCCGATTTGAAGTAAACTATTTTGCTCTCCAGAACCTGCCGACAATCCCAGGATGAAAGTAACATCGCATTGAGGGCAATCATACTAAAATATAACGCAAACGTGCTGTAAACGTGGTTGGCTGGAAGATGACGTTAATTTTGGTCGCTGTAGTTAATGCTCGCACATTAATGACAACGATCTTCAGACTTGACAATACATAAAATCTAAAGTTGGTTCCGTTCAAGATTATGGTCTAATGATCCTCCTATGGTTGAACGGCGTATTGCAG